TAAGAGCTGCCAAATCACTGCCTACTGTCTTTCCTGTCCCTCTTCACCCAGCCTCTTGCATCCGGGAGGGCGGCTGGATCTGCAATGCTCTCTGCTCCTGGCCCATAAGACTCTCCCATAAGGCCCTTAAGGCTCTCCTCTTCCTCCTCTGCATGGCTGAATCCCCTGGCACGCCCCCTGTTCTCCCAGGAATCAGCATGCCAGGCTTACTTTCTCCCAAATTTGACATTAACATGTGCTGCTCATCTTCCCCACTGCAGGAGACTACTGGATTGACCCGAACCAGGGCTGCACCTTGGATGCCATCAAGGTTTTCTGCAACATGGAGACAGGCGAGACCTGCGTCTACCCGACCCCGAGCAGCATCCCCAAGAAGAACTGGTGGACCAGCAAGACCAAAGAGAAGAAACACATCTGGTTTGCAGAGACCATCAACGGCGGCTTCCACGTAAGCATCCCTGGCGTCCGGGTTGTGCACCAGGCGTAGGATGAGAGGCTGAGGAGGGGAAGGTGTTTTCAAGGCTTATAAACCAGCCTTTTTCAAGGATTATCTCGAAAGCGTGGCGTGGGGTTCTTTAGCTCTGCAAAGCAAAGGGAAAAGGCTGCGACTTTTGCAGCCATCCAGGAACGGTAGGTGTGGGCGTCCCCTCAAAAGGGGTTGTCGCAACCGCTGTGGGCTCTAACTTCTCCCTACTTCCCTGCAGTTCAGCTACGGCGATGAAAACCTGGCTCCCAACACCGCCAACATCCAGATGACCTTCCTCCGCCTCCTGTCCACCGAAGGCTCCCAGAACGTCACCTACCACTGCAAGAACAGCATCGCCTACATGGATGAGGAGTCGGGCAACCTGAAGAAAGCCATCCTCATCCAGGGCTCCAATGACGTGGAGATCAGAGCTGAGGGCAACAGCAGGTTCACATACAGTGCCCTGGAGGACGGCTGCACGGTAAGTCCCCGGGGGGCCGCCAAGCCCTGTTCAGACCACGAGGAGGTGTCGCAGGTTGGGATGGCTCCGGGACGTCTGATAACGTTCCTCCTCTGTTGCTTTCTTCACAGAAACACACTGGCAAATGGGGCAAGACAGTCATTGAATACCGATCACAGAAGACCTCACGCCTGCCCATTGTAGATATTGCACCTATGGACATTGGTGGAGCCGATCAGGAGTTTGGTGTGGATATTGGCCCAGTCTGCTTCTTGTAAAAAGAGTTGTTTTATTTGTGTGTTTGTCTGTCTTTTTTTTTTTTTAATTCAGCCCAATACTGTTAAAAAACAAACAAAAAATGCCCACCCCAAGGACCTGAGTACTTTCCAATCACTCGTACAACTTCTGCACTGAATGGCTGAAACGACCCCCAAATTCCCCTTGATTCACGCGCTTCCGTTTGGGACTATTGCCAAAGCCGTCACAGGGCAGACTGCGAAATAAAACCACGGTCTTATTTATTTATTGTCTTCCTGTAAGACCTATTTTTGGGTCAGGTGGAGGTGGGAATCTAACTGGCAGGTATGAAGGTGCCTCCCCACAAAAGGGATCTCCCAGGTCTGGGTATAAACTAATCCCCTCCCATCCCCGTCCCTCCCTGTGTGTATCACCAGCAGGAGTACTATGTATAATACAACAAAAAATGGTGCTATTATTGTAAAACAAGTCTGTATTTTTTAACATCGATTGATATAAAAAAAAAAAAAAACCTTTGGTGGAAAGTAGAAGTTGCTCTGCGCTGCGTTTCTTTTTGTCTCTCGCCGGAGGCATTGGCTGCAAGCTCTTGTCCTTCGCATCCCTTTCACGGTTCATTGGCTTGTATCCCTTCCTTAACCACGATAAAGGTAGTTTTAAGGGCACATCTCAAACTTTATTTCATACAAAGAAAAGAAAAAAAAAAGGGAGGGGGGAGGAATAGGAAAATTTGAAGAAAAAAAATCTTGAAACACCAGGAGCAAACAGAGCAGCTGTGAGATTTCTGAGGGATCATTTGTTCCCCCTCATCACTATGACAGCACCAGGGTAGGCTGAGGTACATGCTTTCTCTTCTAGGACTGGGAAACCAGTAAAATCCAGTAAAACCAGTGGGAAGGGGGAGGCTGCGACCAAGTCTCAGGGAAAGGGGCCTGGCTACAGCCAGGGGGCAAGCAGGACACACAGGGAGAGATTTGTGGGTGGATGGACTCTGGTGAGAGCCATTTAAATGTTTCTCTTTATGTTCGTTAAAACTAGGTGCAATCCCTAAAAACCTCTAACCCCCCTTTCTTCCTACTGAGGAAATCATGCTAGTTCGTGCATGGAAAAAATGTAATTTAAGGATACATTTTGCAGCATGAAGATGGTAGAGTTCACAGCCATCGCACACAGGCACCGACTGCTTGTGAAACAACTCCATCCCTCTGCCTTCTTCTGAAATCCTGACCTCCCTCCCACACCCACATCCTATTTTCTGCACTAAAGGTAGAATGCTTTTCCTATTTAAGAAAACTAAGAGACCATCACCAAGTTCGTTCTATTTGTACTAACTTCCACCCAATGCTGCAATCGTTATTGAACAATGTTTTTATCTGAGCTAGGATACCTCACAAAAGAAAAGGGAAACACACACTCAAAAAAACCCTTTAATTAAAAAAAAGTTAAAAGAGCATGGCTAACATTACATATATGTAACTTTTTAAATTAAACCATGCAAGTTCTCCTCTTAAACACACTTGCTAACTAGAGGAAAAGCCTCAGTAGTTGATTTTTTTCCTATCTTAAAGTTAGCCCACACGGCATTGCAAACATGCTTGATCGTCGTGTGCATGAACAGTCAAACATGGAGCTGCTGACTTGGAGGTTTACAAGTTGTATAACAGTGCTTTTGTTAAAGCCCAAGGGTTTTGGGTTTTTTTGCCTCAATTGATAATATGAACACTGCAGTTTTCCATTAAGAAAAATAAGACCTTAAAGGATAAAAAAGAAACACCTTTTAAAAATGCTACTTCAGGGTCTACATCATGACTCTGAACGCTCACAGCTGTCCATGTGGCAGCAACCGCCCCTGTTAAAGCACGCAAAACAGCCTTCACCAGACTGGGAACTTTATAAACATTGGCAGAAGAAATTCATTAAAAAGGATTGGAGGATTAAGAAGGATTTTCAAAATAAATGCCCTTTAAAAGGCCAGGTGCTTTGCCACATGACCCAGAGGGCACCCCTAATTATCAGCACTCTGGCTCACTGCTGGTATCTGACACACCACTGGTCCAACAGAAAGCAGCTTTCCTGTTCACTCAAGCAGCAAGACTAAGGTTCCTGCTGCAGGCATCCCATGAGTCCCCGAAATCACCAGTAAATTTAAGGGCTGTCTCCCACTTCCCCCCCACTAGGTAGCTTTTAACAACTGGTTGCACTAGGAGCTGGAGAGCATCGCTTACTGCCGAAGCAAAGAAGCAACTCCGGTAGCAGAAGGCTGTTGCCGCCCTTTGCGGGCATCACGTGCCACCCCACAAGGGGGACCAAGCCAAGCAGGACTGAAAACTGCTGGGCTGTTGACAGGCAGGAAGCCAACAGCTTGAAAAAACAAGACGGATAGAGAATGTAGTTGGTTATTTCCTCATCTTAAAAAAGAAATTCAGCTCATCATAATTGTGAGAGCTAAATTAGGGTTTTAGGAAAGTCATGCGAGAAGCTCATGATCGAAATCGCAGGGATCAGCAGCAGTGCAATAGCCACAGAACTTGGTTCTGCATATCCTGTTATCAGTCGAAGCTGCCCCACATGGAAATGAAGGCTCCGGAAGGACCATGGCTTCACCATTTCTGCACGTTCTACCGCTCTGGTAGAGTTTCTCAGCCCTTCCCCTTTGAAGCAAAAAGCAACAAGTTGGCCTCAGTGCAAAATAGACACACAAGACCCCACAATGACCATCCCACAGGTCCAGCAGGGAGAGGCAGACTCCGGTTACAACACCCCTGGTGTTCAGCTCCAGCCCTCCCTTCAAAGGGAGGGATAACTCCACTCCGAGTAGATTCCCTTCGCATTTCGGGAAGCTTCGTCTTTGCCACCATAATAAGAGGCTTAAGAACTGAACTTTTCTAGGCAAGATTCTTTATTGCTCTCCACAGACTTAGGAGCAGGATTTTTCCTGCTCAACCCTCCATTTCCCAAAATCATCAGTGAAAGACTAGGTGCTGCCAAGTAAAAGGTGCAGTGAAAGGGAGGACACTATGCCAGTCACAGCACAAAGCACTAACTCCAGGACAATGTCTAATTTCAAAAGGAGAAACACAGTTTCTTTCATTTCCAACAGACAACACCACATGATAATATACAAATCAGATTTAATAAGTAAATTAAATTCTAGAAATTCTGCAAGGCAGAAGTGCCACTTCTTAAAAAAAACACATGTATTTCCCCCCCACACACACGCTCACCCAAAATAAAGTTCCTTCATTGAAAAAACACCATGACCTTACTGGTTTCCTTTGCAGCCTTTACTTGTGTTTTGTTTCCACACACGCCCACTCACACTAGCACAATGTAGCTCACAAGAGACAGACAGCCAGGGAAAGATGTAGATGCACTCGCAGGAGGCTGTGGTGATCGAGTTCCAGAAAAACTATAAAGGACAAAAGCAGGATGTGCAATTCTCTAAGTCTGTAGAGAGAACTAAAGTGGATGCTGTGCTTAACTTTCACATTCAATTTATTTAAGAATGTACCTGATACCTTACAGGAGCCCTTTGTTCCAGAAGGATGGTAAGCCTTTGAAACAAGAAACTCACACTAACTTGCCCAAAATTAGTTTAAAACTGCACTCATTTCCCTGAAGGGCACTAAAAGGAAACCAACACAGCAGCACTTGCATATTTAGTCTTTAGACATCCTTTCCTACAGGGAAAACAGGCAGCTGTATAGAGAATAGCATTCTACAATACTGTCCCTTCACAGATCCATCCCAAGTCTTCAGGAAAGCAGCAGGCACAAGTACAAAGTGAGGCGGAGGAACCTGCAGCTGTCAAGCACCATGTGCACCCTGAGCAGCAGCTTTGGAGCTATGCGTGAGGGAGGAGAGTCCAAGCTGTGTAGTCCCTTAGCACGTCCCCAGCAGCACTACACTTACTGAGGTTGTCTTCATTAAGACTGTAGTGCTTTGGTATCGATTCCCTGTGGGCAGTCCCAGAGAGCTGCCAGCAAGCAAAATCTGCGCAACAGAAGCGGCACACATTGATGGGAAAAAAGAACTGACACTTCTATCTAATGCAAGTTACATCTGCACAGATAAAGCCTGAACGCCTTATCTCCGCATTCCTTGCGGGAGACTATCTCCCAGAGACTATCAAGTCCTGCTTTGAAATCTGCTGATGATGTGTTGCCACTGATGAACCAATTACCTGCACAGAACTAATCAGTTTGCCCTGAAAGGACCAGAAACAGCGCTAAGCTTCAGAACAGCTGCAAAATTCAACTCACTGTTTTACCCTTGGACTGCAAGGCATGGCGATTCAGAGTCCCAGTCCCCTACTAAAAACTTGTTCTTTGGAACTGAAGATGAAGGCAAGCCCAGCAGGTCCCTTATTTTGGGAAGGCGCTTGTTTGCTTGCACATGAACACCATCCCAAACAGATTCTGGGGACAGGCCAGCAATTCAGTCAAGCTGCATATGGAATAGTGTGAAAGGGACCCAGAGCTTCCAAATATCTCTGCCAGCATTCCCCAAAGTCATTGGCAATCCTTCTGTTTCCATTTGAAAGTTCATGGTCCTTTCCACAGCTATGCATTCCCATGGGAAATCCATCCTCACCACCACCTCCCACAGAAAATATCAGCCGTGTCCTCAGGGCACGCTCTTCTCTTTGGTTACCCCTCGCGCTGATGGGGTCGGCAGGGACGGAGGCTCCGGGAAAGCTGTGGAGTTGGTACTGCAGTCCACATAATGGTACTTTTCCAAGGCGCTCTGGGTCACATGGCCAACATACGAGAGCTTCACTGATGTTCTGAGAGAGGGAAGAGCAATTTAGTGAAGACTGGACCAATGACAGGGATTTCTCTATTAAAACCTCCTGGATTTTCACATTTTACATTTGATAACACAACTCCTCTTCCTCCCCAAAAGCTGTGGATCCTCTTAAAGATACTCATTCAGCAAGTGTATCCAGGTGTACGGCTCACTGCAAATACAGTGCCTAGAGCACAGGATGAGTCATGAGAGAGCTCAGATTAGAATAATCTGCTGTCTTCTCCTCCCTGTTTTCCATTTTTTTTTACCCAACTGTGTCAACTGTCATGAATTAAAGCTGACACAACGAGCAAGTCTGGGGTGCTTGCCAAGCACGATTCTTTTGACAGACCATAGGTTTGCTGTGGCAGCAATTCCCCTTTGAGTCAGAAGCAGAGAACAACTTACCTCATAAAAATCACTATGTTATGTACCTTGACCTTGGGAAACGTGCAGAAGAAACTGGAAGAGACCAAAACAAAGAAGAAGGTCAGCAGAAACTAAGCGAGGTTTAATGCACCAAAGAAATCTCAGCAACATCTGTGTTTCCCAGGTGTCTTCTGATGACATTTTCCCTTTTGTGTTAACTCAACTGACGACACGGCCCCAAAAACCCTCTTGATAGAAATGACTTGGAAGGTCACTTTAATAAACAGTTATTTTCCATAAAATAGCAGAAAACAAGTCATTTCCAGAGTGAATTCTAATTAAAGCAGCCTAAACCTCTCTTCTCCCCAGTTATCCAGAAGAAATAGTAAATCCTTACTACACATAAGAGAAAGGTCCACCCAACTCTGCCTTCACAGTGAAATTCACCTGCAAAGGTAAATGAAAAATACATTCATATACAGCTCAAGTGACTCAGGAGACTCTCTCAGTATCAGTTTAAAAACACCCCTTCGAGAATCTTTCCTACTTTAGGTTCTTTCAGCTGGTGCGCACAAAGCACAGATTATTCTAGTGCTAAGACTATTTTGTCTGCCAAAGCTTTGGGTATAGATAGATTATGACTAAGTTAACTTGCAATACTGTGCAATGCTGATATCTGGTGACACACACAGCATATGTTATAGTGTATAGCATATGCCCCAGACCATGCAATGAAAAACTAATACCAGTTTGTCACTCAAAGGCTGGATGCAGGAGACGTTGGTGATCTGCTGGGTTCCAACAACAGTGTTCATGTACTGCACCTGGCTAGTCAGGCTGGTCACTGTAACAGAGTAGAAGTTGGAGTTTCTGATCCTTAAGGTGGCCTGTTTTGAGAAAGAGGAGAAACGCGAGCAGTGGTGGCCTCTCTCGCAGCTCAGCGGCAAAATCCCCCCCCTCAACAGACGCAGACACGCCAAAACTTTACCGTGATGGCAAGAACGACAACAGAGTTCTTCTTGTCAAACCAAACTTGAACCACTTTAATGCCTTCATCATCCACAAGGACAGAATGTGGAAACAGAAAGAAAACCACCAGCCCTGATATCAGAAGGCAGAGCAGCACCGACAGCAGGACATACTGCTTCCTGGAAGAGGCAGGAAAGGGTTTCACATCCTTTGCCCTAACACAGCATCTGCAAAATTATCTCGTATCTAAAATTCAGCCTAGCCAACAAACAACACCTATCTGCTCTTCCCTGGGAAAGACACAGAAGTGCTGCTCTTACATTTTCGATATCTGAAATTGCTCAAAACCGTTGCCCTTGACACGGTTTATTTTCCAGTAATGAGTAACCAAAGAATCATTTTTGGCCCTATAATGTTTTCCACAATCTAGCATTTTCACTGTTGGTAAACCAGCTTCTTTTTAAAAGCTTTAGTAAAGGGCACAGGGACAAAGGGTATGAGTAGTATCATTGTTTCTGCATTCATCCCTACAGTGGGATTTGACAGGAAGTATGTAGAGTTACATTTTAAACTGTATTTATTGGCATACTTAGATTAAAACAAAAACACTGGATGGAAGAAACGCTGCAGACTGGGTGAAATGTTTAGCTGTGGCCATAAATGACAAAGAGCCCCATTTACTCTTCACAGAAACATAATTATGCTCATACTACGCACTTACGTTCTCTGTGGACGCAGCCGTTGGTCAGTGTAGGGTATCAGAGCCACCAACTCATTTACCTGTTCTGAAAAGCAGAAGGAGCACGTTAATCAGTTCTGTTCACTTGCAAGCTTACACTTCTTTGCAAGGATCATCATGTCCTTGGGATGCTGACGAACTCTAGACAAAGTTTATTCACAGCTCTATGCCAGACAAGAAACTGGCTTTTGTAAAGTGCTCTTGTTCCTTATACGTCAACATAGAAAGAAGCAAACAATAAGCATGAAAAATAAGCTATATTTCAAAATTTTAAAAGCAATGCTGGTATGATTTGAAGAAGACTCTACAATAAACAGTTATTTCATGTAAATAAGGAAGATTTTCACTCTGCACATATAGTATTTAAGTCTGAATGCAGACAGTTACCTGTGGGAATGCAGCCAGTGCCTTGGCAAGTGGGACAGGTGATGCTGTCCTGACCTGTGAATTCAACATACGGAAACTTGGCAATGTCTTCCTCACGATCTCGGCTATCAAGTAAGTCATCATCATCATCACCATTCTTCCTCTGCCTTGAGGCAACATTATTAGCAGAGAGGGAAAGCTGAGAACCCATCACAGCTGCTGCAGAAAAGCCGCATAGCCTAAGACAAGAGATAGCAAGAACAGTAGAGGTCATTAAAGAGGCTTTCAATCTGTTTCTATCAGACAAGGAAATCATACCCCTAACTCCAGATACAAAGGGCATACTGGCTCTGACATCTCCCTCAGACAGCTCCCCCCAGGGACCCACCCCCCACACCCCCACTAAATATCCCCCTCAAAGGGTTCCATGTCCCCTCAGAACCCCCCAAAAACAGAGACCATCCCCCCTCCCCACAGGGGCCCACCTCCCCAAACCTGTAAGACCTGAGATATCCTCCTCAAAGACCCCTCAAGAGAAGCCCGTTCCCACATAGCCCCTGCAAAAACAGAGACCCCTTAGAAACCTCCTTCCAAGAGAGCTGTCCCCCAGCACGCACCACAGAGACACCCAAGCACAGAAAGAGACCTACGTCCCTT